TTTTTTTTTTTTTTGTTTTTTTTTTATTTTTTTTTAATTTGTGACCCCAGGTCGGGGTCACTGATAATGTTAGTCTAAGTTTTCGTTGGAGCTCAACGTAATTAACAAAGGAACGAATTTTAGTATATGTTCAGTTCATTTCCAATACTAGTATTATCTTCCTTTTGCACACCTATTATTATTATTATTATTATTATTATTATTATTATTATTATTATTATTACTTGTATTCGACCTGTGCATTTGCACAAATATATAAATAAAATATTGTGAGTTATTCGTATGCATATAATGGTTAATGATTTTTTGTCAAATTTACAATTAAATGAGTTGAAATATTTTTTTTTTTTAAATTGTGTTTATCATATTGGATGTATGTATATTTTGGTATATATCTTTTTTTGGTGAATTATTTATTATTTGTTTAGGAATTTCAAATACGTTTTTTATTTTCTAAAATAAGTTAATTTAAATATAACCACAACAATAACATCTAATAACGTTAAATAGTCAACATATTATATGGTCAACTGTAAGTAAATAAAAAATTTAAAAGAATTTTTGTAATTTTGAAGTGATTAGTATGTTGATTATCTAATAATTAAATGAGAGGTTAAATAAATAAAAAGTAACGGTATTTGAAGGGAAAAATTATATTGCCACATAGGTATAATTTAATAGGTTTTATTAAATGCTCATGAGCCAACAATTATATATATATATAGATTATTATTTTTATTATTATATATTTTTTTAAGGAATTGAGAAATATAAAAGGTTTTAGCTGGGACATTCATTAATTAATTAATGATATTACATATAAACTTGTTATTTTTTTTTTTGGGTAGCCAACCACGGTATACGGAGCTATGTCTCGACTATTCCGTTGGTCGATCCGGGTCGCACACCTGACAGTGATGGTTGAGTCTCTCAACAAGGGTTTTCTGCATCCACAAGGACTCGAACTTGAGACATTGCTTAAGCGACAACAAGCTGCTTACCACTTGAGTCAACCCCTGTTGGTAAAAACTTGTTAAGTTTCTCTTCACAAATATCCGTTTATTAAATTAGTTTTCATTCCAAAATAATAGGAATAAAATTGAAATAAAACTGAAAATATATAATACAAATTTCTAAGATAATATTTAATTTGTTGTAAAATCAAGTATACCAAACAATTTATACAAAAAGGAAAACATATGAAATG